ATATATATATATATATATATACACACATACATACATATACATAAGTGTCCGGGGTGCTGCAGATTTACAAGGATTTATTTTTACTGCACGGGGAGGGAACTAAAACATATTTCTACTGAGTATTTCCAGGGTTGCATTGCGAGTGCTACAGCTAGCTGCCACTGACATTATTAGAGCTGGAAAACAGCCAAGGAGTTGTACATAAAGTAAATCATAAGCACATTGTGTAATATGAAATTAGCAGCTTCTCAAACTAACTTCATGTAAACTGCTATACAATCTTTCAGACTGAAGAAGTCTTTTGGATGAAAGACGAAACGTTTCTATTTTTTTTCATTCAAACTTTATTTAGATAGATAAATCACACTGAGCCTAGAAGACATTTACAAGTGAGATCTGTTTAGACAGACAAAAGTAATGAAACTGGACACATGTAGAAATTGGAGGCGAAAAAATTCCTATCAGACTTTTTCTTCTTTTTGTTTGTTTGTTTTGTTTTTTGAATGTCCAGACTTAACTTTTTTTAGACTTTCAGACTGGAGTCGTTTCAGATCTGGTCAAAACTGAACTGTTCCTGCAACAAACCGAGGCTGTTCAGATACACTGCCTCTAAGCAAATAGGTACGAGCCTCCTATTGGATAATTATTGCATGGGTGATTATCTTTCAGCTGCAACAAGTTATTTAACCCCAACTGGTGCAATGAGTTGCTTCTCGTTTCTTAAACAACCATGACGAAAAGACGCATCGCGTGGTCGTGAAAAAGATGTCAGTCTGTTTGAGAAGGGTCAAATCATTGGCATCAAGCAGAGAAAACATCTAAGGAGATTGAAGAAATGACTAAAATTGGGTTAAGAACTGTCCTACACATTATTAAAAACTGGAAGGATGGTGGGGACCCATCGTCTTCGAGGAAGAAATGTGGCCAGAAAAAAAATCCTGAATGATCGTGATCGGTGATCACTTAAAGGTTTGGTGAAATCAAATCAAAGAAGAACAACAGTAGCACTCAGGGCTGTGTTTAATAGTGAAAGTAAGAACATTTCCACTTGCACAATGTGAAGGGAATTCAAGGGACTGAACAGTTGTGTAGCCTTAAGAAAACCACTAATCTGAGGCTAACTGGAAAAAAGGCTTCAATTTGCTAGGGAGCATAAAGATTGGACTCTGGAGCAATGGAAGAAGGTCATGTGGTCTGATGAGTCCAGACTGACCCTGTTCCAGAGTGACGGGCGCATCAGGGTAAGAAGAGAAGTGGACTAGAGTGCTGTATGAATGGGTAAATGTGGACACAGATGGTAGTAAATGGTAAATGGACAGTACTTATATATCACCTTTCTATCTTATTTACAGACATTCAAAGTACTTTACACTACAATCTGTGTCCTCATGTACCCATTCATACAGCACTCTACTAGATCTCTACAAAGTTAATTGAA